ATGTATCTAGTTGCATATTCATTTGATACCATCTTTAGTTTTCTGAATTTCTCTTTTTCACCAAGCAATTGTTTTAGCTCCATCGTAAACCATGCAGGATAACTCCTTCTAGGTCTTTTATTTTTAAATTTGACAACACATATATCAAAAATATTATTTAATGTTTCATGAAAAAAATTCTGTTGCCCTATTTACATCTTTTTGAGCTAAGACATTACCCCAGTTAGCTTCCCTCAGTTTTTCTACTAATAATTCAAAATTGGCTTTTTTAAAATTGAACTTGTTACTTAAATCCCTATTGTCACAGCATTTTTTACATACATCTTTATTGATCTCAACGTATATTTCTAAAGCCGGATGGTACTCACTGTCCTCTTTCACTAAAGCTTGGTGACACTTTTCAACAACGACCTTAGTGGAATCTGATGACATAACCAGATCTAGCATTTCCCCTCTGTTATTTTTAACAGTATTTTTTTGGGTCATAGAAGTGACAGATACAAATTCCGATATTGCAATTATTTTGGGATTTTTAATATTTAATGAATTTATATTATTACCCGATATTTGAGGAATATTAAAGTATCCGAATATATATGCATTTTTATTTAATATATGCTCCTGCAAAGTATCAAACATTCTATTATAAGAATCAATTTTGTTGTCTGGCGGTATATACACTAAGACTATTACACAATTACTAGAATTATTAACTTTAATGTCTACGATAAGCATTTCGTAATTTTTTGATATTGAATTGACATTTAAAACTTTAATTTTATTTTTATTAATACACATCAAAATTCCACCACCTTTACTTTTACCTGTGTAGTTAAAATCGCGGTCAGCTCTGACCACATTATAGTTATTTAAATCAATTAACTCTCCTTCCCCTACGTTATCCTTTAGCCACGTCTCAGTTACCAACAATATATCATAATGACAATCCGCAGTATTATAATAAAATTCTGTAAGTTTTCCATTGAGTCCACGGCAATTTTGGTAATATATATGTAACGAATTCATAGAAATATACCAAAATTAATGAATATTGCGACCTGCTCAGCTCCCATGAAATTATTACATCACATATCCATGGTAAATAAACTTATCATTTAAAATTACATATTTTTTTTTTTTTTAAATAAAATTATTGCTTAACTTAATTCAGTTAATCGACTACTTGTATACTTAAATAAAGAAAGAATACTAAACCAACTCAAGAAACATTAAAATTATTTAATACATAAAAAAAAATTAAACTTTTATGCATCTACATATGCCATTGCAAAAGCACAGAGAGCTTAACTATAATAAAAAAAACACGAAACTCTTAATATACATTAGGATAATAGGACTTTTCTCGATTAAACATTTTTTTCTTTTAAATAAGAATATTCAATTGTATCTAATACGATATAACTACTTAGATAAAAAATACTGAACCAACCTAAAGATAATATTTAAATTAAAACTAACAAATTGAATTTTATCGATTCTGGAGAAGTTTAAAAAGAAAAAAAAAACATTCAAACATGCATCCATGCTATTGCAACAGCAGAGAAAGCCATTTGTGAAGCGAAGACAAATAAAATATTATTTATAAATTAATACTAGTAAATTTCTTTGATTATACTTGAAAATCGATTAATCTTTTTAATATAAACGAATATCTACTATTTTAACCTTGAAAATATTAGTCTACCTAGTAAACACCTAGAATTTGAACAAAAAAGTAATAAACTCAACTTTTGAAAAGATAACTACAAATTATTTTTATAGAGAGATTAGTCCAGCGGCAATCCCGACCAGCGCGCAGCGTACTAATTGTTAATTTTTAAAGGAACATTTCGTATACCTTGATCTGTTCTAGCCATGATTTTACCAAACTGTGTCCAGACATTCTTCTTTCCATATAATTGACATGCATCTTTATACGTTTCGTACTGTGGCTTGGTGAGATCTTCATTGATATAAATTTTTGTATTCCTTAAATTTCTTCTTGAGTAATATACTTCCTTTCTCTTTATATTTGTTACGAATTTTACAATAATAGTTCTTGTCCTCTCTATATCAGTGAATTTACCTAATCTGTAAACATCATATAAGTCCCTTTCCTCAAATTTTATTTTTATGACTTCGTTGATGAGTTTTATGATTTTAGTGATTAAGTTCTCATTGTCTTCTTCAGCAACTCCATAAATTCTCAGGGCATTACTCTTCTGAGTTCCATCATATTGTACAATTTTTTTATTTAATACAGCTATTTTGCTTTCATTACTTTCTATTTTGTCAGACAACTTGTTAATATTACTATCCATTTTATTAAGCGTGTTTTCAAGTTTATCCAGTTTAGTTTCTAGTTTATCTAGTAATTCTTTATTTATATTTCTAATAGTGCACTCTAACTGACCTTGCTCCACAACTAATGGTTCAACGCGAGCTTTGTGAAAACTTTTTCGATCTGCTTCCCATTGTATATTTTCCACTATAAACTAATGTTTTTCCAGATTTTATTTTACTATTTAATGATTCTTGTTCTTACAACACTGTAGTCCAACTTTCGCACCGGTTTTCCTTGAATTTACCACTTAAAACACTTATTATTTTGGGGGCTCAACAAACACGTGCTTACAGTCGAAATATCATCATTATAATAATGTAATTTTATTTCAGCCTATAACCATATATTTTAAATAATTGGGAGTTTGCGTCTGTGATCGGATACATTTCTCAAATATAAGTATGTTATGTTTCTGAAAGGTTTCAGATTATTATTTATGAAATATATAAAATATTACATTTACAAGATATTTTTACATTTTAGGAACGTTTCAGAAATGTTTCTGGGACGTTTCGTAATATTTATATATTGTAAATATTTACAATTACGCTTGAAAAAGAAGATTGTTTAAATAAAAGTTACTTATATTATTCTCTATAATTTTTATTATATTCATGATTTCCTTAAATTGGTCTGTATTGGAGAAATTTGACAAAAAGTGCAAAATTCGAATTTTTAAGAAAATTCTTCAAATAAAAGTTGTTTATTCTGTAGTTAGTTCTCTATCATTTTTGTTCCATACATTTCTCTAAAATGGATCGAATTCAGAAAAATGGAGGTAAAATGCAAAATTCAAATTTTTCTCATTATTTTCACTTAGAATACCACTAATGCCCAAATTATTCCCGGAAATATTTTAGAATTCGCGAATATTTTGAAAATAATCCCGATATCATGTTCTATATTTTTTGTTCTACACATGATTTCTCTAAAATGAACCGTAATGGAAAAATCTTTAATTTTTTTACATCAGCTAACTTTTCAATGCTCGCTATCTGTTAAAAACAAAGCTTGTTCTGTGATGTTAGTCCCTTCTCTTAAATTCTCGATAATTCATTACCATGTCATTACTACCAGAATCAGAATTAGGGGACATAAACTATGGTCAAATTTCATATCCCTTCGACGCCCGATTTGCGAATTCACAGGTACACAATTTTGGAGGGCGTCCGAGTTGCGACGAATTCAGGTAGTTTTTCATCACGCCCGAGTTGCTAACGCACGGGTTGAGAAAGTACCTTACAATAAGATTTGGCACAAACAATTATAATCGATTAGCTTTCTTCTGAAATAACCGTTATTAAATAAGTGATATTTCTTAATTTTAACACCCTGTATCTCAAAAATTAGTCTTAGAAAAACTCTATGATTTTGGAAAATATTTTCTACAGGATGGATGATACGACAGTGAAAAAATATGTATACTTTTATAGGAATAATAAAAAAATATAGGGTACCTAAAAAAATGTTTATTTGACACATAATAAATATTTATATCACCCTGTAGTCAATGAACTGGATAATTGTACATATCGTAAATACACAAAAGGCCCGTAAAAATACTGCGTTTTACATTAATACTCATAAACAAATATATTGGCCTGTCGATATTTACGAATCACCCTGTATAAATGACACCTAATATCTTTTGTAGTATCATAAATATAGCAATAATTTATTTTTTAGTAAATATTTTCACCTTCTAGAACAATAAAAGTATTTATCAAAAACATGTCCTTACTTATTTGTGGCCCCACCCTGTGAAGGAAAATAATTTTTGACACCTTTTTATATTCGTAGAATGACAAAAGATGTTACAATAAGATTTTGTAGAAAAAATTAAAATCGATTAGCTTTCTCCTGAAATAACCGTTATCAACTAAGTGGTATTTTTTTGTTTGACACCTTGTATCTCAAAAACCAGTCATAGGATTTGAATGGTCCCATAGACACTACTGCTTAAGAGGTTCAGAACTGCAACATATCAAAAATTTATTACATTTAACAGGTCGCCACTGTTTCATAAGCGGTGTGCAGGGTCCCTTGGGGATTATATTAAGAATAGTGCTGCTGAGGAATGCATTTATTTTAATTATGATATTTTAAAATTTAAAGACTTTTTCTTGGAAACTAGAAGGAATTAAAACTTTAAAATATATGCATATTCTAGATATTATTGCCTAATTTATTTTGACAAAATTTTAATTTAAAAGAAAAATATACTTTTTGAGATATGCTTGTCCGAAAATTATAGGGGGTACTGTAATCACCTTAATAAAAACAAATAATTTTTCATACACAACAATTTTATTATCTTAAAAGACGATTGTGACAAAAACTTTATGACTCATTGTTATAATTATTATTATCCCATAAGTATTTCTTAAATATATTTAACAATATCTAACATGCAGGTACCTGAACGTCCATTATTCTTTAGTTTCTATTAATAATGCCATAATAGTGATTTTAAAATCTAATTAACTGGAAAGGTGGCAATTTAAAAACAGTACTTAAGTCAATCAAATTGTAGGGATAATCTTAATCCCTTCGGAAAAGTATAAAACCCAGAATATAAAATCAAATTGTACATACTATATTGTGAAATTTAATCTCCAATATCTGACTGAATATTTTCTGTAATTTTTACAATACAATGGCAACAAAAGGTTTGTGGCGCCCATGACTGAGTGTTAATGAAGAAGATCTAATGGATCAAGAAAATCGGAAAATAATCCCGAATTAAGAAAATCGGAAAATATAGGTGATAAAGAAATAAACTGTAGTAGAAAAAGAATACACTTGAACCAGAATGTCAAAATAATGATAAAGAACATATTTAATCGTGAGTATATTTTTATTTTTGTATGTATTTTTTTAAATATCTAATAGTTTTTGTTTGTATATTTTTAATATTTTCATTTGTACCATTAATAATAACTAGAATGCTTGGCATTCTATATTATGCTTTTCACAGTTTGGCAACCTAATTTTACCTCACAGTAAATTTAACTTATAGATAATTTTTGGGTATGTTTTGGTTTATTTTGGATATTTTGGGATTTTTTTTAGGTATTTTTCGGGTATTTTTTGGAAATTTTCAGGTATTTTGGGTATTTTTAGGGCTCATTCATAAATAACTACGTCACATGATTTTTGGGTTTTTTTGACCTCCCCCTGTCCTTGTCATAGTTATTCACATTTGCGAGTAACGGCACATATTTTGCAATTTTACAACTAGAAATTATTAAAGAGTAAAACCAAATTTGGTAGATTTTCAGACTTTTATTTTAAAAAATATAAAAATTTTTAAAAAACACTAACATGACATGTTTCGAAGTACAACTTCTTTTTCAAATGTGACTATTTTAAATTCGGTATCCAATATATATACGAAATAATTTGACAAAACAAAGTACTTAAGAAAAACATCAATAACGTTACAAAATAACTATTTAAAGTATTTACTTAGGTAATTATAATATCAATCAGATAAAAAAAATTATATTTTGAAAATCTACCAAATTTGGTTTTACTCTTTCAAGATTAAATGGATTTTCATCAAGTAAAGGCCGAAACAATAAATAATAGAAATTATTAAATTAAAATTATTTTTAAGGTTTCCGTTAATAGTTCAAATTTCGTGTTTTAATACTTAAATATATTAGATTTTCAAATGTGACGAAATTTAGGACCCCTCCCACCCCTTTTCACACAATGTTAGGGTTCAATTACAATTAGAAGATCACAGCTACGTCATCATTTTGGCAAACTAATTAATTGATTATCGCAGCCTACTGGGGGTTTAGTGGAGTGTTAATATTATAGGAATATAGGAAATATTGTTTAATGCCTAACAACTCACTTATTTTTTCTTTATTGGTAGTTATAGATAATATGTATTCGAAACTCGAAGTAATGGTTATGACGTATCGGTGTTCTTCTAATTGTAATCGAACTCTCCACCCTTAACGTATGACGTAATTTATGGATGACCCCCTAGTAGATTTCCCCTTTCTGAGTTGGTTAAAATTAATTTAAAGTAGATTTTTGGAGTATGAGGTAGTTTCCTTGATGCTACTTCTGAGAATTCTTCTAATAAGAGTTTGTAAAATTACTTTTTTGATCCTTTTCTAAATTGCACTGATCTATCATTTAATTTGGCAGAACACAGCCTTTATTCCTTTGCATGCAGCCATTTTCAATTTTTACTTTCCTATCTGTATACAGATATAAGGAAAGTATAGGAATCATGATTTTTTTCGACCTCGAGTTTTCGACGGATTTTTACGTTTTGAGGTCCCCTGAATCCGTTTTGACTATTTTCGCGATGATGTCTGTGTGTGTGTGTCTGTGTGTGTGTGTGTGTGTGTGTGTGTCTGTGTGTGTGTGTGTCTGTATAACGCATAACTCATGAACCAATACACGGAAAAACACCAAATTTCAAACTTAAGCTTTGTTCCAACGTCTAATGAGCTGATTAGATTTTGGGCAGAGTCGGAACATCTGGGGGGGTACTTTATAGGTGGTCATTTTTATATTTTATGGAATATATCTGTTATTTACGTTTGGGGAAGAAAATTCTTTAAATGAAAGTTACTTCTTATTTTATTATCTATAATTTTTGTTATATACAAAATTTTCCTAAAATGGTCCGTATTCGCGAAATTTGACAAAATGTAAAAAAATATTTTTTTTTATAAAAATTGTTCAAACAAAAGTTGTTTGTAATATAATTCTCTATAATTTTTATCCTATAGATAATTTCTCTAAAATGGACCGTATTCGAGATATTTGAGAAAATGTGTAAATTTCGAAATTTGAAGAAAACTCAAAAATGGGTAAAGAAAAAAACATTAAATTTTAAACTTAAGTTTTATTTCGGCCTGACGTGAAATGATTAGATTTTGGACAAAGTCGGAACATCTGGGGGGGTACTTTATGGGAGGCCGTTTTTATATTTTATGGAATATATCTGTTATTTATGTTTGAAGAAAAAAATTGTTCAAATAAAAGTTACTTCTAATATTATTATCTATAATTTTTGCTTTATGTAAAAATTTCCTGAAATGGTCCGTATTCGAAAAATTTGACAAAATGTGCAAAATTCTGATTTTTATGAAAATTGTTGAAATAAAAGTTGTTTATCGTGATTTTTTTAAAATGGACCGTAATGGAAAAATTGTAGGAAAAGTGCTAAATTTAAATTTTTCAGTATTTTCATTTTCAATGAATATCTATAGAAAAATGTTTCGCGGTAGATGTATGTGGACAATGTATATATTTAGTTTATCCTCTAAACATTTATAGAGATGCTGCAATAGGTTGTACAAAATAACCGGAAAAGGCCTGTAATACCTAGATAGGAAAGTCATGTGTTGGACACATCAGATTTTTTTTTTAAATCTTTAGCTTTATTTTACGTCATAAATAATGTATTCATCAAAAAATAGTGTTTCCTTACAATAGTCGAGATTCTTAAAAAGAGTCAAAAATATATTGGCTTTGAATAGTATTTATTTTCTAAAAGCATTTTTTTCTCCAACTTTTTTACAAGGCGATAAATTTGCAACATTTTCTAATCTATTTTTAGTTTTCTTTCGAATTTTTGGTAAACTTTTATCCTATCTGCCAATATTTTGTCTATTTCTATGATTGTTAGTCCATTAAACACCCATTCTTTTGGAGATGGAACACAGACTACTCTGTAAAGAGTATAATTACGTTCCTTTACAATTTTATTTAATCATATTTATCAATAGGTCACCTGAAGCTAATGAGTAAAGTATCGGCGATAATAGAAACTGCTAGAATATCAAAATTTTCACGAGCAACGGTTTATAGGATAGTTAAGTACGGACCGTATGCGAGAAAGGAAGCTTCCGATCAATAGACAAATCACTTATAGATAAAATAAGGTACGTTATTGCGGATCTTACAATAAACGAGATACCTACAATCAGTAACTTAACTAGCGAATTACAAAAAAGAAATATACCGAATTGTTCTAAAACGACATTGTGGCGTTTGCTACAAGCAAACAATCTACAAGGATCCATTAATTACGATGAAGAAATACTAGTAGTAGATTAACTAAATTTAATTAATTATTTTTACTATATAGCTTTACATTTTATACTTAATTTTTTTTGTATTAATAAATTATATTTTTTACATTGATTGATTTTGGGTACTGACAAAATTTGTTCAAATTTTAGTATGTTATTTTTCAGGTCATTAATGGCAACTTTTTATGGACTTCATGCTTGCAGCTTTACAGGGTGAGCTGTTAGAAAGAGTCAAAAGTATGGTGTGCAGAATTAATATTTTCATATATATCTTTACCAGTCTTGAGCAATTCATGTTTTTTCATGAAACTTATGGCACGTCTTACACTTGTATATAATTTATTAATGCTTAGTTGCATTTTGTAAACTAAATTATACAAGATATTCAAAAAATTAGGAATAGGTATCAGTTACTAAAATAAGATACATTTTTCATGTATTACTATAGCTAAAATAAGATTTCTGGCCATTTGTTTGTTTTATTTAACACTGGATAATTTTTATAAGTAATACAGGGCGTGACAAAACTACATAAATAACTAATAATTACAAAAAAAACACATTTAGCGAAAAAACTTGGTATACCTACCTAAAATAAACTAGAAAGAATCTTGAAGCGAAATTAATTTTTCTTGTAGTCATGAAGTCCGACTCTGTCTAAGCACGCAACCGATTCGTGATAGAAGCAACGCTGACGTGTGGAAACAGCCGGCCCGGGTCTCGAATACGACAGAATGTCTGCCGCTAATGTACTGGAAGCGACTGGAATGGCGGAGAATGCCGCTTAGTCATCTTCGCGAAGTCTCTAGCATTTTCCAGTAGCGGAGTTAGACTAATATAAATAGCCGACGTAACAGCGCCGAGTTTAGTTTAATATAGAACGTTGTATTGAAAAGTAAAAGTGTAAGAAATAAATTAGAATTGTTAGTTAATGTTCAAATATTATATAAATTAAATAGTACGTCTGAAATAAATTGTAAATAGTGTGTTTTTAAATAAATAAACTTTAAATAAATTAGACTTTCGTCACAGTATTATAATCTCTATAACCAATCAAATCACGTTCTGTTTTCTTTAATTTCGAAATACTACTACTAATCCTAAATGTTTATTTGCAACACACTTCATTTAGTTAATTTTTTAATAGAAGAAGAAAATAATAATGTAGTAAATATACAAAAAAGAAAAGATATAGCAGTTTTGCATAGATTGAGATTTCCTGAAATTCCGTTACCACCTAATGCAAAACTTTGTTTCTACTGCAATTCGAGAATATGTTCAGTTTGTCAATTAGAACAAGATCCAAGAGCAATAGGCCCTATTGAAGTACTTGCTTACAAATCTCCGAACAAATGTTTTATATGTAGAAGAAGAAATCGAGATAGATTAACTTTTGAGGTAAGACTAGATTTTTGTATAAAAACTAAGGTAACTAAGGTAACAAAGTAATACTAGGTGTTGTAATCGCCATTTAAACGATACTGCTCTAATCTAACCCCGTTTTTTTGAAAATCTTATTACCATTCCTTCTTTCATTATTATGGAAGGAAAGGAAATTACCCTATGGTTTTCCAAAATGAACGATTACTCGTCCAATATTTTAAAAACAAGACATAGTCACGAAGATAATTTTGAAGATACAGAATTTAAAAATCTTGTGTCTTTGTTGAAGAGACAATTTAGAGAATTATATACATATTGTGATCCCCTTGTTCTTTATTGAAATCATGGAAAGATAAATAGAGATTTATTGGCCTTTTTAATAAAATTACGTCAATGTCTGTCGGATGTGTTCATTGCGTCCATATTTGGTTACTCATCAAGACAAAATGTCAGTAACCAAATATTATTGGTTACGATTAGTTTAATCACAAGATTTGTGCCAGAAAACATTGGTGTCCAGTGTAACGATGTTAGAAATCGCGAACTTTTTATCCAAAGACGTGTGAATTAATTTTCTAATATTTTGTATAATGCCAATCCAAAAATTCCTCAAGTAATTTTGTATCCAGACCGAACTTATTTGAAAATACCAAAATGTTTCAATTTCAGAATACAAAGGCAATCATTTTCAGTCCATAAAAAATATAATTTAGTTAAAGCTGGACTTGTAGCGCCTGACGGTTTTATTGTTGACGTACATGGTCCATACTTTAGTGATTCATATAACAATGACGCATCAATTTTGATTAACGACATGCAGCAAAATATAAACAATTTACGAGGTTGGGTCACCGAAGGAGACATATTTGTTGTAGATCGGGGCTATAGAGATGCAGTGGAGTTTCTGAAAAATCTAGGTCTTTGTTGCGAAATTCCTGCTAACCTACCTCGAGGTCAGCGGCAATTCACGGTAGAAGAGGCGAATAGGGCACGATTGATTACAAACATGAGATAGATTGTGGAATCTAGAAATGGCCATCTAAAAAATATTTAATTTTTTTTTTAAATACAATTCAGTTGGATCATTGTGTGCACTTGAAAGATCTTTCAAAAACTGGGTGTGCACTAATTATCAGGTATCACCAAACAATCACCATACCAGATGCTGTGCCTGAGTTGTCAAGAAGACTTGTACAAATTGCCGCAGAAAATTAAAATAGGGTGCAAGCACTCGTAAAACGTTTTAATTTGCTTCATAGAAGGGGAATGTGGTTAGATCTAGACCAAAATAAGGATATTTAAGGATCAAAACTGGATCCCATAACTGGATATTACTGTACATGTAAAACTGGTGCAAGAACTATAGGCACGTGTGCTCATATTTCTAGTGTTTTGTGGTATCTAGGATATGCATGATACGAAAATAATATAAAGTACCCTTTAACTGTTTTATTAAGAACTATTTTAGATGCTGCTAAAAGATTTTTGAACGCTCTGTATGTTTTATTTTACAAAATGCCAATAGGCATTAACAAACTATATACAAGTGTAAGAGGTACCATAAGTTTCATGGAAAAAACATAAATTACTTAAGAGAGGTATATGAACATATTAATTCTGTACTTCATACTTTTGACTCCTTCTAACAACTCACCTTGTAGAGCTGCAAACTTGAGGTTTATAAGAAAGTTGCCGTTAATGACCTGAAAAATAACATACTAAAATTTGAACAAATTCTGTCAGTACCCAAAATCAATGTAAAAAGTGCGGAGTCCTTTAATACAAATCTATCGACGCGTTTAGAAGTTACAGCTGTTTATTTGAGGCTATGAAAAGCTAAGTGGACTAACCCACAAAATTGTAGTTTTCTTTTTTTGATACTATTTGAATCTTGATACCCATATCTATCAAGAGCAAAGCGGACTAAGCCACCTTTTACAATAGATCGGCTAGATGGCAGTGCTATCGTTGTTTTGCTTTTGCGTAATTAACATATTCATACAAAAGCAAAGTGGTCTAACCGCACTTAGTCCATTGTGCCGCTGTAAACATGTGTTAAACGTGATAGAAGCGTGTGTTTAGTTGTTTGTGTTCAATTTATAAGTTTTTTAACTAAATTATTTAATATTTTGCAAATTTGTGATTACTATGTACTCTATTAATAATTAAATTTTCATGAAAAAGAAAGTATTATTTTCTTGCTTATGTGTTTTAATTTTGAGGTTATGTAGTACATTAGTGTTGGGAAATTTATTGGTTTACAAACATTATTATAATAAATACAATCCTAAAAGTAAATAATAATAGTACATTCAGTTTCACTGTATAAATAGAAACAGTTAAGAATGAAAAACAGTACAAACTATATAAAAATAAATGAAAATAATTCATTATTTTTTACTGTTAAAACAAAATGAAAATATTTTGCAGATTCATCGGACTCTGAACCATTTCAGGAGTCTGGTTCGGAATTCGTGCTTTCCGATGAAGAATCAGCAGACGTGCCTTTCGATGAAGAATCAGCAGACGAACCTTTCGTTACTGACCCACCAACACCCTCCAGGGATGTTAAGAGTAGAAAGCGAGTTCGCAATGAAAAAAAGTGGAGGAGAAGTGTTGCCAAGAAAAAACGATGTGCCGGTGAAGAGTATAGAACCAGATCCAATAGAGTTGTTCCTGCAAAGACTTTCAGTCCATGTGTATGCGGTTGTAAACATCACTGTAACAATTTGATTCCTGAGGAACGTCAAAGGGCTTTGCATCAGTACTTCTATTCATTGGAAAACTTTGATTTTCAAACCGCGCATCTGTTTTCCTTAATCAAAGTTAAAAATAAATTGCGCACGTACACTGGAAATCCACAGAGCAGAAGGAATAAGACGAGAATCTTCCTACTACCAGACGAAAATGGTGCAGAGCGAAAAGTCTGCAAAAAATTTTTTCAAGCTGTATATCAGGTTTGTGTTTTTTTAAGTTTTTTTCGATAAATATTATTGTGGTAAACAGACCGCGGAGAGATTATGTTTTGGCTTATTGTATGTACTACTCTACAGTTCAGAAATATTTTAATAAATATGGTACCCTCGGATTTCTCTTGATCTTTTCATTCTTCTGGGAGAATCGACAGAATCTTGAAGAACAAGTCAGAGGGAGCACTTGCGCCTCTGGACCGTCGGGGAAAACATATTCCAAGTAATAAAACACCCGTTGCGAAAGAAAACGAAGTAAAGTCCTTTATTCAAAAATTTCCATGTTACGAGTCCCATTATTCACGTGAGAAAAGTAATCATAGAAAATATCTAGCACCGGACTTGAGCATAGGAAAGATGTTTGAGCTGTATAAAGCTGAAACAGTGGATCCTGTTTCATATGCTATTTTTAGAAGAATCTTCAATACACAGTTCAACTTACACTTTCACCCACCTATTTCTGACTCATGCAGAAAGTGTGACTTTTTTAATGTCAAAATAAAGGCATCAAATGAAGAGCAGAAAAAACATCTTGAAGTAGATCTAGAACTCCATCAGAGGAAGGCAAAAGCAGCAAGGGATGGCCTGAAACATGATATTCAACGGGCGAAAAATAATGAAGTTTCTGTAATATGTTTCGATTTAATGAAAACATTACCGACACCAGTCTTAACGACTGGAATTTGTTATTATAAGAGGCAATTATGGACTTATTGTTTCAACGTCCATGACATGGGCACTGATAATTCCTATATCTGGGACGAAACCCTCGCATCTCGGGGAACCCAAGAGATCGGTTCCTGCCTGTTGCATTACATAAAGAATTCCCAAAAATCAAGAAAATTAATCATGTATTCGGATCAGTGTGGGGGCCAGAATCGTAATAAAAAACTGTCGCTGCTCTGTAATTTCATTACGGCATCTCCAGATTTTATTGTTGATGAAATTGATCATAAATTTCTGGTCAGTGGCCATTCCTATCTCTCTTGTGATCAAGATTTCGGTCTTATTGAGAAAGAGAAAAAATTTCATCCACACATTTTTGTACCTTCAGATTGGATTTCGGTCATAGAAAATGCTAGGAAGAAAAATCCGTTTGAGGTAATTCAAATGACAACATCTGACTTTGTGTCGACGACTAAACTATGGAAAGTAACGTTACGAACAGAAAACAATCGGAGTCAAAAACCAAGGTGGAATGGCTGAAAATCCAATGGTTACGGTTTAACAAAAAATCTCCTGATAAAATTCAATATAAATATTCGAATAACGAAGATATTCCTCTTGAAACTGTCGATATACGTAAACGAGGATCACGTTCGACAGAACTTACTACACTTCCACTACTGTACCCCAAGGGTAATGTAATTAATGAGGCCAAAAAGAAAGATTTGCTTCAACTAATTGAATTTATTCCACCCGTACATCATGACTTCTACAGAAACATTAGAGCATCGGTCCAGGCGTCAGGTGGAGAGTTACTTGACGAAGAAGATGAAGATTAATGTAGATATTTTAAGTTGAAATAATTTAAGTTTATACTTTTTCTTGTTATTTTCGCAAATTTTTACTGCAGAAACAAAATAAATGCACAAAATTTAACATTTTATTACTATTATTCCGAAAACAAAATCAAATACAACAATGTGAACTAATCAACACAATCGTCAGATAGCAAACTGGACTAATCCACATTAAAATTTAAGATTATAAGCATAACTTTATTATGTTGACATTTTTAGTTATATTACGTCACTTTTTACATGGTAAGGAAAATTGGAACCAAAATAACCATAAATAAAAATATTATGTGTCGGTCCATTTTTAAAAAAAATTTAAAGCCAATTATCTCACATTGTGCTAATTGGGGTTAGTCCACTTAGCTTTTCATAGCCTCATTTCTAAAGTACCCCATCAATTTCTTATTGTCCGTCAACGTGTTAAATTATTTTTTATTAATGTGAATTGTTAAATGTTTCCGTAAGACACATTTGTAATTAAATCCTTTTGAACAAATGTCACATATAAATGGTTTTTCATTGCTGTGAATTATTAAATGTCTTCCTAAACTAGATTTTTGATCAAATCCTTTAGAACAAATGTCACATTTAAATGGTTTTTCATTACCGTGAATTATTAAATGTTGTTGAAAATTACATTTTTGATTAAATCCTTTTGAACAAATGTTACATTTAAATGATTTTTCATTAATGTGAATTTTTAAATGTTGTTGTAAGTTAGATTTTCGATGAAATATTTTAAAACAAATGTCACATTTAAATGGTTTTTCATTATTGTGAATCATTAAATGTCTTCCTAAATTAGATTTTTGTTTAAATCCTTTGGAACAAATGTCACATTTAAATGGTTTTTCATTGCCGTGAATTATTAAATGTCGTTGTAAGATAAAGTTATGGCCAAATTCTTTTGAACAAATTTCACATTTAAATGATTTTTCATTACTGTGAATTATTAAATGACTTCCTAAACTAGATTTTTGATTAAATCCTTTGGAACAAATGTCACATTTAAATGGTTTTTCATTATTGTGAATGTTTAAATGTTGTTGTAAGTTAAATTTTCGATTAAAACTTTTAGAACAAATGTCACATTTAAATAGTTTTTCATTACTGTGAATTATTAAATGACTTCCTAAACTAGATTTTCGATTAAATCTTTTAGAACAAATGTCACATTTAAATGGTTTTTCATTGCCGTAAATTCTTAAATGTTTCCTTATGTTGGAAACGTTGTTGATTTCCAGAGAATATTTTCTTGATCTATTTTTTACTACATGAATAAATTGGTGCCGAAAAAAATTAATTTTTGTCATGAATCTTCCACAAAATTCGCAAACAGTAAAGTGTTTCCCAAAATGTCCGTCGATATGTTTCGATCTTGATTTAGAAGAACGGAAATCTGCAAATAAAAAAGTTCGGTTTACAAAATTAAACAAAAAATAATTCAACAAACTACCAACATTTTAGTAAGTACGTTGTTAATATTGTATAATTGTCATATTTCAAATAAAAAAAAGTTTTGAATCACTGCGAATGCTGTAAAAAGTAATAGGGTAAAATGGGACAATAATAATTATTGATCATACAGTATTTAAAAAGAAATTAAATACAATTTTAAAAAAATTAAAGAACCAGAAATAAATATACTCAAAAGGTCCTAATATCAGCTCGCAAGCTGGTCTTCCTCAAATGCCTGCAAATCTAATCTAATATGGTGTGACACATGTATATAGGGTGTTCCTTAATAACATGCTAATATTTAAAGGGGTGATTATTGAGCCCATTTTAAGGAAAAAACTTCATATGGACGTATGTCCTTAACCTCCTAATTTTTGAGATATAGGGCGGTAAAATAAAAAAAAAAATAATACTATTTTTATAATTGTGATACTATTGTTTTTATAATAACTGTGATACTATTGCAGATATCATTATGAAATTTAGCACATGTCTTCTATGAATCAAGATACAATTGTATTATTTTTAGCAGTGGCGTCCGTACGGGTTTTGCATTGAATATTTTTGGAGAAAAAAAAATGGTACGCCACTGCCTATTCTTGAAATAAAAATTATTTTTGGAATCCTCATTCATTTCTGAGAAAATTTGATCTTTTGATTTTCTTTTCCCGAAGCATGGTTTTGGCTTAAAAAAATAAAAATCGTTTTACTTTAGGGTCAAATCTAATGCGGTGACTGTTGCTTAGAAATCGCATTTTTTAAGCTATTGAGTTCATTTCATATCAAATGTTAATTAATTCAGAAGTAAGTAACTTATTTTACTTTAGGAAAAAATAAAACAAAATCAAGTGCCAATAATAATTATAGCATTAGAATGTTAGCGGGGATTTCAGAATTTTCACATGAACAGCTTAAATTTTATTAACTATTACCTAATTATTAACAATACTAACATTTAATTATTAATTATTAGCAATACTAACAATGATTATAAAAATTACTCTTAATAGACATGAAATTGCGCACTGGTTCAAATATTTCCGACGTATTCCGTATAGTTTCACACGAGGCATCTATTTGCTCTCGTAAATCCTTTACAGTGTTAACGGGAGTTTGATACACTAAAGTTTTAAGGTGTCCCCATAAAAAAAAATCCAAACTATTGAGATCGGGGGACCTTGCTGGCCATTGCCGAGGTCATCCGCGACCTATCCAACGATTAGGATAAACTGTTTTTAAATGACTTCGAACAATTAAACTGAAAAGAGCAGGAGCTCTGTTGTGCATGAACCACATTTGATTCCTTAACGCAACTAGCACACATTCAAGCAACCCATGTAGTTCTTCTTCGAGAAAATGCAAAAAAGAATGGCCAACAAGGCGTCCGTAGGAAAAATGAGCCTATTAGATGATTACTAATAATTCCTGCTCATACATTAACTGAAAATTGTTCTTGAAAATGGGTTTCAGTTATAGCATGCGAATTTTCTTCCATCCACACATGATTGTTATGGACATTTTGAATAGCATTTCGAGAAAAATGTGCTTCGTCTATGAACAAAATGTGTGACGCAAACTGCGGGTTTAGTGTAATACTCTGAAGATACCACTGACAAAAGTGCACACGTTGTGGGAAATCCCTGGGGAGTAATTCCTGTACTCTTAGAATATCGTATGGGTATAACAAAAAGTCAATCAAAATACGCCAAACAATTTGGTAACAAATATTCAGAACTCTAGCGATCTTCCTCGTACTCGTCTCAGGATGTTCGTCGATTTCTTGCAGTACCGCTTACTCAATTTCAGGGGTTCTGACAGTTGGAGGTATACCTTCCAAAGTACCTTTATTGAAACTACCAGTTTCGCTAAGTCGGCGACGAATATTTGAAAAGATTCGGCTATCTGTCAAGGCACGTTTAGGATATCTTTCCTGATAAATGCGTCTGGCTTCTGTTGCATTACCATCTGCGAGGCCATACACGCAATGCATTGCCGCCATTTCCCCATTCGTATAATTTACTGATATTCGAAAAATAGCGAAAAAGTAAAATGACTCCAATTGTTAAGTATTTTTGTTGCGCCACTGAAATTTATATAAAATGTAATTTTATGAAAAGGCGAAAAAATGTTGTTAGAAACCGTCATTGTAGATTGAAAATTACAATGTCAAATAAAATGTGAAATAAAGATTAAAATAGAAAAATAACTTATAATTTATATTAAATACAGTCCACAAAATATTAGAGTTCATAGTTGGAACCAGCTAAAGGTTTTAACACCGAAACACCAATGACCCAAAATCAAAAAAATAACAACAACTTACTTTAAGTCAACAAGTAGTGTTTTGACATTGACGTTTGTAATTTATTCCAGGATAACTATGTGTTGCGATAGGAAGAAATTTTAAGAAGGGTGCACGGGTGCAGAAGCATGCCTATTAAGTGAAGGTGGCCACTTCCAACAATTTTTATAATCATTGTTAGTATTGTTAATAATTAATAATTAAATGTTAGTATTGTTAATAATTAATAGTTAATAAATTTAAGCCGTTCATGTGAACATTCTGAAATCCCCGCTAAAATTATAATGCTATAATTATTATTGGCATTTGATTTTGTTTTATTTTTTCCTAAAGTAAAATAAGTTACTTACTTCTGAATTAATTAACATTTGATATGAAATGAACTCAGTAGCTTGAAAAAAGAAAAAAAAGCGATTTCTACGCAACAGTCACCATATCAGATTTGACCTCGCATTTGACCCTAAAGTAAAACGATTTTTATTTTTTTTCAAGCGAAAACCATGCGTCGGGCGAAAGAAAATCAGGAGATAAAATTTGCTCAGAAATGATTGAGGATTCCAAAAATAATTTTTATTTCAAGAATAGGCGGTGGTGTACCATTTTTTTCTCCAAAGATATTCAATGCAAAATCCGTACGGACGCCACTGCTAACAATAAAATGATTTTAACATCAGAAAATGCATCTTGTTTCATGGAAGATGTGTGCTAAATTTCATAAAGATATCTACAATAGTATCACAGTTATTATAAAAAAACTATATATTTTTTTTAATTTTACCGCCCCATATCTCAAAAGTTGGAAGGTTTAGGACATACGTCCTTATGAAGTTTTTTCCTTAAAATGGGCCCAAAAATCACCCCCTCAAATATTAGCATGTCATTAAAGAACACCCTATATTTTTTAATTATTTACTTATAAATAGCTAAATATGTTTTTTTTTTCACCAGTAGAATCACATTTAAGATGTGGAATTTGTTTTTGGAGAGCCTACAACCAGGAACTATTTAGAACAGTTTTTGGATTACAAAAAAGGATTTTTAGATTTCTGTGAAATGTTATATTTCATGGAAGCCAAGAGATGGAAGCCTTTATTTCTAGATCATAAAATTTTAACCTTAGTCAACATTTAGATTTTGGAAACGTCACAGATCATGCATAAAAAATATAAAAATAAAATTAGTTACATGATAGTTATATGATACAAGATGAACCTACTTATTGTAT